TATTAATTTATAGGCTTCTTGGCATTGGTCAGGGCCCCCTAATTCCCAGGGGCCCTAAGCGGCTGCTCACCTTGCTTATTGGTTAAGTTCATTCCTGCCAACAGTATAGTGCAGTGTCACATAAATAGTTGATATAGTTATGCTGTAATGTATTGGAAAATTAATGGTAAGTCACGACTATCTATGATAGAGAAAACTGTTAATTAACCAATCTTAAATCTTAAACTTAAATCAATTTTGATATGTGACCCTGGACAAAACCAGTCATACAGGCACATTTTGGAATTGAGATGTAAACATCATCTGAAAGCTAAATAAATAAGCATTACATTGGTGTATGGTTTGTTAGAATAGGATAATATTGGGTGAGATATTAGAGAATCGTATACTTCTAAAGTTCTTAGCAATGCATATCACTAATTTGACAAATTGTGTTTTGATATATTTACAAAAGGAAATCTACTAAATGTCTTCATTAAAACTTTAATTAATATCATGAACTTTAATTAATATTTTAATGAATAATAATTTTTTTTGCTATTCCCACAAATATACCCAAACAACATAAGAACATACAGTTGATGTCAGAATTATTAGCCCCCTTTTCCTTCCCTAAGCAAGGAAATTTTTACAGTATGTCTGATAATATTTTTCTTCTGGAAAAAGCCTTATTTGTTTTATTTCGGCTAGAATAAAAGCAGTTTTTATTTTTTTTAAAAAACACTTTTGGGACAAAATTATTAGCCCCTTTAAGCTATTTTTTTCCCGGTAGTCTACAGAACAAACCATTGTTATACAATAACTTGCCTAATTACCCTAACCTGCCTAGTTCACCTTATTGACCTAGTTAAGCCTTTAAATGTCACTTTAAGCTGTATAGAAGTGTCTTAAAAAATATCAAGTAAAATATTATTTACTGTCATCATGGCAAAGATAAAATAAATCAGTTATTAGAAATTTGAAGTTTTTTAAAACTATTATACTTAGAAATATGCTGAAACAATCTTTCCTCCATTAATAAGAAATTGGGGAAAAAATAAACAGGGGTGCTAATAATTCAGGGGGGCTAATAATTCTGACTTCAACTGTATGAGGTTTTGTGATCACCCGATTTAAACGTTATCGCTCAATTGAATGAACATTATCAGTGGCTATCAGCTGATAGATATGGGCCAGTAGGGGCCTTCAGCTTCTATTGGTAGGTGCAGAAGGCTGCTATCATCCATCCACATGATTAATCAGCTATACCAATAGAGAAGACTCTAGATCCAAATCTGTTTTTACATTACTGTGATGGTTGGGTTTAGGGTTGGGGTAGACGTTAATATAATACAATTAATGGGAAATTTAATAAATAATATAAATAATTCTCGTTAACTTCTGGCCGCAGCCACATAAGATCTATAGCTGATTAACCATATGGATGGATGAGTACAGCCTTCTGAGCCTACCAGTAGGTGCACAAAGCTCCTACTGGCCCATATCTGATAACCACTGATATTGCCTACTGAATCGAGTGATAACATTCAAATCGGCTGTTGTGATGCAGAGATACATAATATAATTAGAAAAATTGTTAACTGAAAAACAAAAGTAAACTCATTTCGGCAACAAAAACTGCTAAAAACGTAACTAAACTGAAAAAAAAGCAAAAAAAAAAAAAGGAAAACTACTACTACTAATACTATGAATAAAACTTCTATCGCATCTGTTATTAGTGGTCTCATTTATATAATATAAAAACCAGATGAGTTACATTCATCTGAGAAGAAATCTCTAACATCTTCCATCATCTCAAGGGTTTTAGCACTGGACAACACTTGCGATTACAATCCATATCTTCAAAGTGAGCCAGACAGGGCATCAGGAGCTCCTAACACAGAAATATTACCAGAGCATTCGCTGCCATCTGGGATCTAAGACTGGCCAGTTGGGTTTATCACATCAAAGATCCATTAATTCACTTTGGAAAGGAGGATGGGACAGGTGGTTGTAAATACACAGTGGAAAAAACACAGACCTCTGGAGTCAGACAGGTTGTCTGCTCCAAGCCATTGAGAAATGACAGAAAGGGGGGAGAGACTAGAGGAGGAAGAAAGAGGTAGAAAGAAGAAGAAATAGGAGAGAAACACAGACCGGTGAGAAATGATGGAGAATAAACAAGTCTAATTATTATTTCAAAAAATATGAAAATAAAATAAACAATATTTATTATATATAAGTGTAGAAAAACTGGTCACACTTTACAATAAGGTTTCATTAGTTATCGGCTGTTTCTCAATGTGTGTTCTTCAGCGATCTTGTCTCCTCGTGTTCTCAAGGAACATCATCATCAACAGCCAAAGTTCCGTTCCAAAACTCCACAAGATCAGAGGATGTGTGAAAGTTTCCGGACATGTTCTTTACATTGAGTACGCACCAATGCAGACTTGAGCACAGAACTCGCTCGTCCCATAAGTCATTGTGACGGGTTAAAGGAGGTGGAAAGCACATTTCATATAGATTTATTATTAAAGTTCAGTGATATAATGTATTTATCTCTGTAGTTCCCCTAAACGAGACGGTGAAAGTAAACATAACCATGAAAATTTTAATAAAGGCATAAACAAATTAAGGGAGTTTATTTGCTGAAATTCGTTTTAAAATCGGTTTTATTTGTATTGTGCAAAGTATAATTGTAAGGTTTTTGTGCATGTTATATATATTGAAAAAGGGAAAAACAATAAATCATTGAATGAATGCTGTAATGTTTTAATAATTTTCAGTTATAAACCATCAGGAAGAACGCAGCATCTCATTTCTTAGAAGACATGTTCTCTGTTCTCTCGGTCACCCGAGTTCATTCTTCTGAGGTGACCTGGCAAGACCGTCACCACAAGAACACAAGTTCGTTCTCTGTGTTTTTGGAATTGAGAAATAGCCAATGCAATTACTAAGATGAACTAATATGAGCAATATATGTACAGCATTTATTAATCATAGTTCAACATTTACTATTGGATTATTAAAATCCAAATTCATGCCTGTTAACATTAGTTAATGCACCTTAAGTTAACAAACTAACAATGAACAACTGTGTTTTCAATAATTAAAATGAACAAATACTGTAATAAAAATATTGGTCATTGTTTGTTCATGTCAGTAAATACATTAACCAACATTAACTGATACAACCTTTCGGTAACCTTAGTGTTAAACTAATAAACCACTAGAGAAAACTTCTCAATTGGTCTGGATTTATGTTTTAGTGATGTGTTTAAATAAACGTTTTTTTGCTTTATTCTAGAAACTATTTCTTAAAACATTTCTTAAAATTACAATTTTATCAAACAGACATGGGTCAGTACAGGATTCTGATGGTATGATAACCTTGGATAAAAAATATCACGGTATCACGGTATTGTGATTACTGCTCTAAAATAAGTTCTTTTTAAATGTCTGGGTAAGAAAAAAATACCCCCCCCCCATTTAACACAATACATTTTATTTTAGGAAACATTTAAAATATTTTGAATTAGTAGCTTTTGATGTAGAGGTACATTTTCTGCTGAAGACACTGTTGCTAGGGCTGTGCAATTTGGGGAAAATATCTACTTGTTTTTTTTTTTTGTTTGTTTGTTTGTTTGTTTTGACAAATATTGCGATTGGGTTTTGGTTTACAATTGAATTTAAGCTTCTAGCTAATTTCAGCATAATAATCTGTAAGCCGTGGCAACAATTCTGTAACAACTCCTAAAAAGTGACCTGTTTTTGTACAGTGTCTGTGTCTTTAAAAACCAAAACATTCCTAAATAAAAAATGCTGTTTTTCTTTATTATTAATCGGTCTATTAATGTTTCCTGAAGCAGCAGACGCCATAATCCAACTTGTCAGAACTTCCCTGTTTGTTTTCTTTTTTTTTTTATTGTGGGCGTAATTCAGTTACGCAATTCTGATTGGGCAGATCGAGAGTGTGCTCACACAGTTGGCTAGTTATAGATCACACGATTTCGGCACCATTTCCTTGATGTATAGTGTTGTGGGGAGTCGTAAATGACAAACGATGTCGTGACACTAGATTCAAAAGTTTCTTCTCATGTAATGTGGCATAGATCATGACAACTGATGCCATGTCTACGATACCTCATGACACAATCACTGAAAGTTTTGTTAACAGAATGTTTAATATTCTGGAGCATAGCAGACCCTTTTGTTTTTATGTATACATATATATTTTATATTGCAGCCTCTTGCAATTAACTAATCACAATGTTTCAAATTGTGATTGTGAGTAAATTTGATTAATCACGCAGCGCTTAAGATTGCCGTAAAAAACAAAACAAAATAGTTAGACAAAATAAATAAATAAATAAATAAATAAATAAATAAATAAATAAATAAATAAATAAATAAATAAATAAATAAATAAATAAATAAAAATAGTACCATGTTTTAGACGATTTTATCACCTAATTTTTATTAAAACATTTGTCATTTTCTGGTAAATTGGTTTTAAATGATGTTTGATTGTTTGAATTTCAAATATTTGAAAGAAATTTTCATTAGACTTTCATAGATTAAAACAAATATTAATATTTTCAAGATAAACTGATAATTTGTCCTAATTTTTCCATAGCTGTGGAATTTATCTGATCATTTTGGTATTTGCAGAAAATTCTTAAAATATATTAAGACTTTTATTAATTTTATTATTTCAGGGTTTTCACCTTTATTGTATAAGACAGCAGAGAGAATTGACAATAAAGTGTGGGGAGCAGAGAGAGGGAAAGGATCGGCATTGGACTTCAAGGTGAGAATCGAACTTGGGTTGCCAAGCACCGGAGTGCATGTGTCGATGCATTTTCCACTATGTTATAAGCACTGACTATTCAAAGTTATTTAAACACAATTTCATGTTATTTATTTATTTTAATGAGATTTTTTTCTGGTTTAAAAAGAGCTGATTAGAGAGAAAGGCAAGAGAGGGGAAAACAAGACAAAAACTGAAACAGCACACATACCTTTTTTTCTGTTAAATGCCCGGTTCATGCTTGAAAACGCTCCGTCTCAGCTGCGATTTCGTGGAATGTGCCACCTCTACCTGCCAGAATGAGAGTGTATGGAAATTTACTTCACAGAGTGAGAGAAATAGAAGTACATGGCTCAACAGCAAAACTCTGTGAATTTGCCTCTAAGGTTAAACCTCCTAGGGTGCATTATTGTACAAAATGTTACTGGGTTAAAAGCTACTGGGTTCAAAAAATATAACCCCTAAAAAAAGCAGCAAACTTTTCTACACAAAATCACTGTTGAGAGGAAAAACCATTAGTGCTGCAGCAGGCAGAAGGGTTAACTATAAATAATATGGGTAAATATGGCCTTCATGGTTCAAATATTAGTATGTTTGTGAATTGTAGATGCAGTTTACCCAAAAGTCAGTGGAATTAAAGGTGCCATAAAGGTTTTTATAAAAGAGCATTCATAAAATAACTTTATATTGAGGCCATCTATATAGTAATGTACTCAAAAACATTATCAAAATAAATAGTCAATGTATCAGAGCTGCACGATTACTTATATAATTCCCAAATGATAATTATCCGCTTGTCTATTAACACCAAAGTTTCTATGCTTGAATAAATAAGCTGTTGTTTACAGTAGCAGTTAAATCACCCTTCACAAGTCTTAAATGAATCCCATTAAAAAAAAAAAGTCATTCCATCTAATACTAATGAAGCAAGAAGTCTTTATGAAGTCAACCAACTCGCTGAAAAAAAGATTCATTCATTTATGAAGGAAGTGAAGCATTTATTAGAGAATCATTTATCCACTCTTTAGGTTAATTCACATTTTTTTACACCTGACAAATACTTTTATCTAAAGCAATATACATTGCATTAAGGCGCACATTGCAGTTTAAGCCTCATGTGCTACTATGAGCTACAGAAAAGGCTCTTTGAAAGATAAAACTTTATCAGGCAATGAAACAAGTGAATCTTGAATAAGTAATTCAACAGATTCATTGAGTAGACACAGATTTATTCAGTAATGAAACAAACAAGTCAAATCTTTATGAATGAGTCATTGAAAGGAGTTTTTCACAGTATTTCCTTTTTTTTTTCTTCTGGAGAAAGTCTTATTTGTTTTATTTAGACTAGAATAAAAGCATTTTTTTTAATTCTTTTTAAATAATTTTTATATTATTATTTATAATATTATTTAATATTATTATTCAATATTTTTTCCAACTGTCTACTGAACAAACTATTGCTATACAATGACTTGCCTAATTACCCTAACTTGTCTAATTAACCTTGTTAAGGCATTAAATTGCAATTTAAGCTGATCTTGAAAAATATCTAGCAAATTGTTCTTTGCTATCAAAATTGTTACGATAAAATAAATCAGTTATTAGAAATGCGTTACTAAAATGTTTAGAAACGTTGAAAAAAATCTTCTAAACAGACATTGGGGAAAAAGTATACAAGGGGGCTAATAAATCAGGAGGGCTTATAATTCTGACTTCTACTTTATATCATTATCAGGATACGAGATGAGATTTCTGTCATATCACCCAGCCCTACTTCAATGGCACCAACGTACTTGGTGAAAAAAGAAGGGAGCCCTGTGTACCAACCAAACATGTGAAAACAACAAAAAAACTATTTGACAGCTCAAGATAAATCAGGTCATAAAAACATCATAGTGTCATTAAACCTATTGCTATTTATTTTCACTGCAAGCTTAGTATTCTCCAAAATTGTCAAACAAGTTTGGCCAAATGACTTATAAGCTATCAGACAACAATGATCAAACGCGAAGCCCAATGGCTAGATGTATTACAATAGCACTGTCAGGTGGATGGATGTAAAGAGTTGCAACACCTCCCCAATGGACGCCATGTGCTCATTACTGATTTCCCTGATGTAAAGTAGATAAAACCTGCATGCTTACAGGCTTTTCAGAAAAATGAATTCACAGTGAGTTCAGTAGAAGTTCCTCACTCCCACAGCTTGTCTGTGATTTAGTAATCATGCTTTTTTTCAGGCATATATTATCATTGGATAATTCACAAAGTAAAGTTAACCATTTTCATAGTAAAACGCGAATGGAACAATAAGAGACACTAAAGTTTAACTGCTGGACTAAAAATGAGCATCAACATTATATATCCACATTATGAGTGAACAATCTGCCTTCATACTAGACAATAAAATAAAAGGGAACATTCACAACAAAATACTGACAATTAGCCAGCATACACTAACTTCACTTAAATGAACATCAGTTATCAAAGTATTCGCTTTAATCTAAGTAAGACAATATTATGACTAAGGTGTTTACATGAGTTGCTTTTTGAATGTTCCTTTCATGATCCCATTTTACATGGTATAGCACAAAAATCAATAAACTTCATTACGTCACTACTATCCATATTTCCTCCGGAGTTTCATGCTATTTAGGGTGTTTTATCTTTTATTTTTCGACTTTACCTGCAGTTTAGCACTTTCACTTTCATTCAGGAACATTTCATGCATGTCCCGCGTGATAAACGAGATACTGGATGCAAGTATGAACTGCCGGAACAGTGTAGTTTTAATGTAAATTTGATACCACACATCCTATAGACAAAACCTCGGCATTTCACAATAGAGGTGCTTGTGCTACTTCACTGACTGGGTAGGTACAGAGAATAGTGTTATGCCTAGTTCAGACTGCGTGATTTTAGCCCCGATTTTGGCTCGCCGACAGGTTTTGAGAAATCGCCGACAAATGCTTGAAATTACAGGCAAATCGCTGCTCATGCACGTGAGTGACAATCACACAGTATGAACGATTAAAGACGCAATCTGAGAGAATCGCCGATGAGTCACCGATGCCTGCAAGATATTTGGCGTGCTAAATATCTGGAGCTGTCGGCGATTCAAATCATGCCGTGTGAATTGAGTTTTGACTGAAAATAACATCAGCGATCGCCTACAGCCAATGAGAGAGCAGCTTTCACTTGTGTGTGCGTGTGTGTATACCTGCTGCAGGCCAGCGGGAGGCTGGGGGAGAAGTTAAAAGCGCTCTTTTTCAGTTTATTTGGACCCACGAAATGGAGGAAACTAGTGGAGGTTTGACAGGACTCAGGAGCAACCGTGTCTGTTTGACATTTCATACAGAAAGAAATTAGTTTATTATCAACGTTGAGGAGAAATGGCTAATTCCCTTTAAACCCAGGTGAGCAAACATGTGCATGTTCTACCCCATTAAAGGCTTCTTTCTCATTATGTAGTTAATAACAAAAGATATACTACGTGTTTTTGGCTGTGAGACGTGGTTTGGACGAAGTTGTCGGCGATTCTCCCTATAGTAAAGTCATGCAATGTGAATGTCCATGTCGGGGAACCATCTTGCAGTGTAAACAAAGCAGCGACGAAACGCTAGCCCAGATAGTCATGCAGTGTGAACACATCTGTGACACGACTAGTTTGAAAATCATGCAGTCTGAACTCGGCATTAAACAGCCATGTGTGTATAGACTATCCTGTCACAATATGTGGCAAAAGTCCTATATGATGGTAATAGTGTGATTAAGGGGTTTACATGTATGTACTGCACTTCAATAATGCTACTAAAATCTGCATACTCCACATGTCTTAATCTGATTTCTCTTTAGTTTAATTATGACCTTAATCGGATTAATCAAACATCGCTGTTTACATGCTAGACGCTTAATCTGAGTATTGTCTTATTGGTGTCCATTGGTGTCATATTGGTGTCCATTGATATCCATGTAAACATTACAGTAAGTAAATATCCAGCTGGCACTGTAAAAAAATAAAAAGTTGACTTAACTTAAAATTGTAGGGCAACTTGGAGCACATTTTAAAATGACTCAACTTTTAACCCAAGTACTGTAGTTGACTCGCTTTACGTCAACTAAAATAAAAGCTAAGCAGCAAGTTACCTTACAACAGGGGTGTCTAAAGTCATGGAGGGCTGGTGTCCTGCTGACATTAGCTCCAACTTGCTTCAACACATCTGCCTGAAGATCTTCTAGTATACCTAGTAAGAGCTTGATTAGCTGATTCAGGTGTGTTTGATTAGGGTTGGAGCTAAACTCTCCAGGACACTGGCCCTCCAGGACCGAGTGTGGATACCCCTTCCTTACAATTTTAAGAGTATTTTTTTTTACAGTAATACCATTTCCTAAGAAAATAATGCAGCAAAAGCTTAGTTTCTTATACCACCAAAACAACATCAGGATCCATGAGTATTCATTCATTTCACTCTATAGGTTTTTGACGTTCAAAGTGCCAGAAATCATGGCCCTACATTTTTTAGAATTGGTTAAATTGAATTGAACTTAATTGCAGATTCAGTTAAGAATATTCACTACTGAAGAAATGAAATAGGCATCAACATTTTGGATGACCTGAGCTGAATAAAATTTCACTCTGTGTGAACTATCCATTTAAGCACTGTAATAAAAGGGTGAAAACAATAAAACACCATGTAATGTGCCGTTCCTAAAGTGAAAGCGCTAACCACTACTTAAACATTATTGTTTGAAATGTTATTTAAGGCCAAGAATGCTTTAAAAAGTCCTGCATCTTGCTAGATAGGCAGTGTAAGAAGTGATGCCTATGTTTGTTTTTATGTGAAGGGTGTGGTGCTTCACTGGAGGGAAACAGTAAATTATAGTATTTTGGGATGACAATTTGGCATAGAAAAATGTGATTTAAGGTTTCATGACAGAACAATAGATATGTTTTTTTTTAAACCTTAAACATATAATTTATGCCACTTTGTACAATGACATGAAGATGACAATATGAGAGCAACTTACTAGTTTGAGCCACTGAGACATATCCACAACAACAGGCATTTGTGCACTTTAAATTATTTCATGAACATAAAATGTGTAGAGAAAAACAGTTTAATTCAAATAAATATGAAAATGCATACATTATGTGGCGGCATGGTGGCTAAGTGGTTAGCACTATCACCTCACAGCAAGAAGGTCGCTGGTTCGAGCCCTGGCTGTCAGTTGGCGTTTCTGTGTGGAGTTTGCATGTTCTCCCAGTGTTCACGTAGGTTTCTTCCGGGTGCTCCAGTTTCCCCCACAGACCAAAGACAATTCTCTGTAGTTGAATTGAATAAGATAAATTGGCCATAGTGTAAGTGTGTGAAAGTGTACAAGTGTGTATGGGTGTTGCCCAGTGCTGGGTTGCGGCTGGAAGGATATCCACTGCGTGAAACATATGCTGAATAAGTTAGCGGTTCATTCCGCTGTGGTGATCCCTGATAAAATAAAGGAACTAAGCCGAAGGTCATACAACACGAAATAATGTGTCAAAGTTAAAAACACCCTTCAGACAGCCACAATTTGTTAATTTGAACAAGTCTGCAATAAAAACAAATTACAATATAGCTGTAAGCAGCAATTAAGGGGCCAAGCACTTCAGAGGCAGAATGAGCAAACCAGTCCAGAGGCCAAAAGCAACAAGCATCAGACAAAGTGAAACAAGGAGTTTTTGAATACCTACAGTATGAAGCATCTAATGGCTGACAGACAAAATGGCTGACCAGGGAAAATCAGATCTCATCCGATTTGGCATGCTCCGGTGAATGTAAAGAGATCAATTTTGGACAAAGGGTTAAAAATTTAAAAGCAAAAAATAAAAAAATATATTTTTTTAGTTCTCCGTACCACTAGGGGACATTGCATCGAAATATTGCAGGTAATCTCAAGCGTTTGATGTGAATACCTCAAGTCCATTTTTACAAGCTTTATGTTAGATTTGTCCACAAGTTAAACGAAAATTATTTGGTTGAATCAACTTGAATTCCATAACGTTTGGTTATCATGGTCTGTAGATCATGTGATTCAAAATTGGAGAAAATCGAACATACAGCCTAGGAGGAGTTTGATAAAATAGTGTCCACACTTACTAACAATCTAACTAATCTAACTTGAAAGGATTTTAACATTTTCCCCAAGGTAATGGGCTATATGCACACAGACTTTTAATTTTCAGCCAGGCAGCCCGGCGGCTTTCCATTACAAAACTGTCACGTTCAACACTTGATTTCTTTAAAAATCAGCAATCTTCACTGCCTGATAGATATACGATATAAAGTGGGTTTCAGATCGGACGAGAAGCACTGCATTAAACTCCTTTTACCCCCACCATGTCTTTAAAATATGACAGTTTACTTTACTGCAGGATTTTTAATGGAATATCAGTGTAAGTCTGTTGCTACTTACGGACGCTAGGGGTTACAACGGTCCATCTCTTTTTCCGCTTGAACAACTAAATGAATGCTTAAGTCTATTTAACTGAATGTATAGTAATTACATTACAACATTGATGCTGTAAAAGCAACCTTGTGAAATTGAAAATAGTCACATTAAGCTTTCACCGGAAGTTTATTGTTGGCTTTAAAACTCTAGATGTGCATAGAGCCCATTGAGAGGTAAAATTTGTTTTACATAATGCTAAAACAATAAAATGTATTGTCTTAGTTATGTCAATGATCAGAATCAATATTAATTTTCATTCAGCATCATTTTTGTGCAATGTCATATAAAACAACACTCCTCACACACTTAATCTCTCAGTATATGGAAAAAATTGATTCATGTGGCCTGTAGTCATTTTCCAACATATTATACATTTTTACATTTAAAAAAGTTGGACAGTCTGTTAACAAAGAACATATGACTAGTTTTCTTAAATGACATTTGGGTGAGACATTGCATTTTTAATAGGCTTCATTTTTTGTCTTGAAGGTAAGTAATTTGTACCTATATAGTAAAACAGAATTATGAAAGCATTCAGACATGAAATGTTAAATGCTTATAAGAAGAAAAAAATGCTTTTTTTAAATATAATTTTCTTACAAAAACAGATGCTGTTTACATTAACACAGGCAAAAAACAAACAAAAATATATATTTTTAAATAGTCCAAGATTCCACAAGGGTTAAATAAATCCAACAATAATATAGGCACCTTTATATTCCAAGAGAGCGATGCAAACAGGCTTCAGCATGACAGACTGACAGGTTCAAAAGCACATGGATTGAGCAGAAAGGCAGGCACTAGTTTGTTTTTTTTTATACAGAGGCAATTGAGCTGTCATATAGAGCCATGGAGAGTCAAATGTACAAGGACAGCGGTCATCACTGACGGAGCAGGTGAAGTCACGAGTCTGTCACGTCACCCTTGCCAAAAGTCTGAAGAGACCAAGAACAACTTCCAAAGAATTCCCAAATCATTAGGAGTTCTGTCACAGTTCAGAAAACTCGCGAAAAGGGCTCTGACATATATAAACGGAGTCATATTTACGGTCAACATCGCAGATATTTTCTAACCTATTAACACGTTTGCTCCAGAGCTTCAAAGGAAAAACCACACAGACCATTTCATTACAACATTCCACATGCAGAGAGAGTGAACAGTGTAGAGGAAAGAGAAAAAAAACATCAATGCCCTCCCTCCCTCTCTCTCTCTCTCTCTCTCTCTCTCTCAGTTATTCTGCTAAGCAATAATATCTGTTGCCCGGTCACACCTGGGCAAACACCTGGCTGTGCTGACCGGCCGCCTGACTGACAGCAGCTGTGTTTGTTCACCGTTTATCACTTCCAGGCTGGTCATTCTGTCCCACGGGAGAGACTTCAAGACCTTCTTTTATGCTGAGCTGCAAAGTTCTGCTGGTATCTTTAAAAGAGAACTCCAGCTTAGCAATTTATAACTGTTCAGTGTTCGCTGTTGTTCATAACATTCATAAGCTCATAAAATAATTAATATTCTAATACAATAACTTACCATCACTGCCTATTCAGGAGTTTTTATGTTTTTTTATGGATGTTTGAATGAATCAGAATGAATGATTAGCCCTGGACTACAGTGTTCTGTGGTCTGTCAGACATAATCAAGCACACAACATTATAAGCAAGATATTTCCCCCAAAATTCAGAGTTCTGGGGAGAAGACAAAACTGCAAACAAAAGCACGACGGAATAATAAAACACAAGATTCATGAAAAGTCAAGTTTAACATTTTTTGCTTTTTAACATTTTAAATTTATGCACTTTTTCTCCAGAGTAGTGGCTGATATTTAAGCCTTCAGGGTAAATTTCACATTTCTTTTGCATTTGATTTTGAACATTACAAGCATAATGCTAATTCTGAAAATAATAATCTCAGCACATCATGTTTTAAACCTTGAACTAGCTCCAGGGGAGATTTAAAAAAAAGATTTACTGAATACACACACTTCAGCAAGAACTTCAGATGTCATTCTTAGTGATATTTATTAGAACACAAACAAAATATGCCTGAAAGTTATTTCAAAGCTTATTTCAAGATGAAATAATGAAGTGACTAAAAAAAAAAATGAAACACTTGACTTTTAAATACTCCAGCACTTTCCTCAACACTAAATGTTGGGGCATGTTTCAAATAATAGACCTCCACGGTGAACTGAACTGTAAAATAGCAACACAAAACATCCGCATAATCACACAGACGTTTGGAAATGTTAAAAAGTGACCTACTTTCTCCTTTGAATTTCTGCTATGATGATAAAAACCAAAACAGCTTCCAAATGCACAGAAAGCTCAGGATGAACAGGAGAATGTAAACATCCACAGATGAAAAAAAAGAAAAGTTAGGGCTGTTCAAAGCCAATGAGCATTCCACAGATATGACCCATATCTGAGCCAACCCTGCCAGCATTTACAACAAAACAAGAAGCAAAATGAAATGAAACCATCCATTGTCTTCACCTATTCACGGAGCTCAAATAGCGAAGATTCTAAAAACAATGTTTATCAATACAGCCCTCCGCATTCCTTACATGGATCAGTTGTTATTCTCCGCTGAGCTCAGAGCCACACTCCAAACACTCCTGTCCTTTCTGTCAGACCTCTCCATATAAAAAAAAGGCCAAAATTCTTACCAATAATGAGGGGAGATTTCCTAAAGACCGGCCAGTGTCTCCTGCCAAAGACAAACCAAATGAGAAAGACAGCTTTTAGACGAAAGCAAAGAGATGGGTGAAATGCAGAGCCAGGCGACTTATTCGCTTTTACACAAGCTGGGATACTAAGAAGGAAGTTCCAGCAGTGCTTAATAGTTTTCAGCTGTGGGCCAGATGGGGTTATGTGAAGTACTAAAGTAAGAGGGGCGGCGGATTTGCAAGCAGAACGAGGTGTCTCACGAGTGTGAGAGAAGCTCTTGAGAGAAAGAACAAGAGAAAAGCAGACAGGAAGAAGAGAATGACGGAAATAAAGTGTGCTGTGTAAGGGAAAATGCTTAAATTTATCGCACTGGAATATTTGATTCCGATTGGATAATCACAGCACTTAACATTTGCATGATGACTGATGAACTCAATACTGTTCATACATGGCTTTTTCACTTTATTTTCAATATTAGAATAAATATGCTAGAATAGCTAGAGCCATTAAATGATTAATTGCAGTTAAATGCATACAAAATAAAGGTTTGTTTTATTTAAAAATTAAAAATGTATGAAAATGTATACACACATAATAAATACACACAAGACACACATATTATGTAAATATAAACTTAAATTTTTTATGCAATAATTTATGAAAAATCCTTAAACAACATAATTGCTTCAACTGAGAGTGATGCTTTAATTAATATTAATATTTTGTAGCTGTTAATGATTTGGTAAACCTGAGCTATGAACTGAGAGTGATGTGTAGAATTTTAGTAGTATTAAATAACAATATCTATTACTATTTTCATTATTATTAATGGGGTTTGCCTTAGGCAAAGTCCATTCTTACAATTGTGCATGGCTTCTTATTATTATTCTTCTTCCGTGCGTTTTCGGCGCGTAACTAGTCCCGCAGTTTTCGTCCCAGACCCTTGAAAGTGGGCTCAAATCGTGCGGTCTTATCGGGAATGGTGTGCTATGACTTTTATAAGGGGTGGGGGGTTTTTTGGCCCCGCAGGGGCCAAAAAACCCCCCCAAAAATCCCATAGACTTAACATTGAGCCGAACTTTGACGAATCATAGCACCGAGTATGAATTTCATAGAAATATGGGATTCACAGCATCTGTAGGGGGTTGCAGCCTAAGTAAGAACATACCTCGCAGGGGGGTATAAGTTGTACCCTGTGGCGCTAGGACGTCCCAAAGTGGTCCCCATTGACTTACATTGGCCCCATTGACTCCCATTCATTTTCTAGACACTCGTAAGATACTATTCCCGGAAATCGCCGTAGCGCCAACACGGAAATTCGTAGAGACATGGGATTCGCGACATCTCGAGAGGGTTATAGGAGGCTTCAAACCACACCCCGAAAGGCGGTAAATGTTGTACCCCTGGGGAGCTAGGACGTCCCAAAGTCTCCATTGACTTTACATGGAGCCGAACTTTAACCAATCACTGCGTCCATTGTGAATTTCATAGAAATATGGGATTCACAACATCTGTAGGGGGTTGCAGCCTAAGTGAGAACATACCCCGAAAGGGGGTATAGGTTGTTCCCCTGGGGTGCTAGGACGTCCCAAAGTGGTCCCCATTGACTTTACATTGCCCATTGACTCCCATTCATTCCATTGACTCCCATTATAAATGTCACATGTCAATCACAGTACATAGCAGTGTCATACTGACTTGGGGGTGGGCTTATTTGACTCAGGCAACCAATCAGCATCTCATTATGATTTTGAAGCTCACAAGCCACGCCCCCCCAAACCACTTAAAGACCCCTAATAAGTGCCCCATTGACTTAACATGGGGTGGGATGTCCCATTGCAGATCCCATTGACTTCCATTATAAAGGTCACACATCTATAACATTACATAGGAGTGTCATAGAGACCCGGGGGTGGTCTCATTTGACTCAGACAACCAATCAGCATCTCAGTATGATAATGAAGCTCACAAGCCACGCCCCTAAACTGGTCCCATAAACTTCCATTATAACTGGCCTACATGCATATCTTTGCTTAGCAGTGTCCCATTGGCTTGGGGGATGGCTCATCTGACTCAGACAACCAATCAGCATCTCAATATGATAATGAAGCTCACAAGCCACGCCCCCAAACTGGTCCCATAGACTGCCATTATAACTGCCCTACATGCATATCTTTGCTTAGCAGTGTCCTATTGGCTTGGGGGATGGCTCATCTGACTCAGACAACCAATGAGCATCTCAATATGATAATGAATCTCACAAGCCACGCCCCCAAACTGGTCCCATAGACTGCCATTATAACTGCTTTACATGCATATCTTTGCTTAGCAGTGTCCTATTGACTTGGGGGTTGGCTCATTTGACTTGGACAGCCAACCACATTCAAGTTCACTCTGTAACCTCGCCCATAGCAACAAAACAGAGTACCCTAGCAACCATTCATCAACAGCTATATCTCAGCATCGGAACATCGTAGAGACTTGGGGATTGGCTCGTTTGACTCATGCTAGCAAACGGAACTTCCTATATGCTACACATGCTAGCAGTGACTAGCTACATGCTAATATTGACTAGCCATGTACTGTAACTTGCTAGAAATGCTTACTAAGTATAAATATTTCATCAGGCATGTATGTGAGGCTTGCCTAGTAACCACCCAGGGTACCCTAGCAACTGCCTAGCAACCACCCAAATTACCCTAGCAACCGCCTAGCAACCACCTAGCAACCACCTAGTAACGCCTTAGTAAGGGCCTAGCGACCACTCAGGACACCCTAGCAACCGCCTAGCAACGCCTTAGCAACCACTCAGAATACCCTAGCAACCACCTAGCAACACCTTAGCAACCACCTAGCAACCACTTAGGACACCTTAGCAACCGCCTAGCAACACCTTAGCAACCACCTAGCAACCACTCAGAACACCCTAGCAACCGCCTAGCAACCGCCTAGCAACCACTCAGAACACCCTAGCAACCACCTAGCAACACCTTAGCAACCGCCTAGCAACCACTCAGGACACCCTAGCAACCACCTAGCAACACCTTAGCAACCACCTAGCAACCACTCAGGACACCCTAGCAACCGCCTAGCAACCACTTAGGACACCTTAGCAACCACCTAGCAACACCTTAGCAACCACCTAGCAACCACTTAGGACACCTTAGCAACCGCCTAGCAACACCTTAGCAACCACCTAGCAACCACTCAGGACACCCTAGCAACCGCCTAGCAACGCCTTAGCAACCACTTAGAATACCCTAGCAACCACCTAGCAACACCTTAGCAACCACTTAGGACACCTTAGCAACCGCCTAGCAACACCTTAGCAGCCACCTAGCAACCACTCAGAACACCCTAGCAACCACCTAGCAACACCTTAGCAACCACCTAGAAACCACTCAGGACACCATAGCAACCGCCTAGCAACGCCTTAGCAACCACTTAGGACACCTTAGCAACCATCTAGCAACCACTCAGAACACCTTAGCAACCATTCAGAACACCCTAGCAACCAAAACAAATACATTGTACCCCATCGATTTGCCACGCAAACCCCATTCACATTTCCTTTAGGAAATGTACAATTCTAGTTATTATTATTATTATTATTACCATGATAACAACATTTTACATTCATTTATTTTCTTTTTGGCTTAGCCCCTTATTTAACCTGAGGTTACCACAGCGGAATGAACCTCCAACTTATACAGCACATGTTTAACGCAGCGGATGCCCTTCCAGCTGCAACCCATCACTGGGAAACATTACACACACCTTCACACACATACACCATGAACAATTTAGCTTACCCAATTCACCTATAGTGCATGTCTTTAAACTTGTGGGGGAAACCGGAGCACCTGGAGAAAACCCACGCAATCAAGGGGAGAACATGCAAACTCCACACAGAAATGCCAACTGACCCAGCCGGGACTTGAACCAGCAACGTTCTTGCTTTGAGTCAATCATTCTACCCACTGTATCATCGCTTCGCCCACAATACTTTACAATAAGCTAATATTAAGGCATCAGTTACAACCGTTATTCAACAGGAACAATGAAAATGACTTTGCCTCAATTAGATTCATTTCAACATTTGCTAAATTACTCAAATCAAAATGTCACAAGTCTGGTGTGTCTGTTTTGTGTCTGTGTGTCTACATCATGTGTTTCATTTGTTCTGTTTTCCCACCGTTTGCTAATGTTTATCAGTTCCACCTGTGTCACGCCTGTACAGTATGTATTCAGTTCAATCATGTCCTGTGTATTTATACCGCTGAATTTGTTTAGTTTTTTGTCTTGTATTGTATCAACACACTTTTTGTCCACACTCCATGTTCTTAGTGCATTTGTGAGTGAGCTACCTGTGACACAAAAGTTGTACCTGGTCATATTTTTAAAATCATCTTAAGTTATTTAAGCAATATTACAAGAGTAGCAGTGTGATATGACTGTATATCGGCGCTGGTGAGAGGCGTGCGTTGCTTTAGGGTTCCACCAGTGACAAAATACTGCTACTTATGTGATACTGCATTTATACAACAGTTTGACGGCATAATCGTGTATATAAAAAAGAAAATCAATCACAGGGAGTCTAAAAATCCTTTGGTATGAGGAACTACTTCCACCATTCATGCACATCTCCAGCTGACATCAGAACAGCAGAAACTATTGCTACTTCACCGACATCACTTTAGAGCTAGTATTTAAATGATTATCATGAGTAATACAATGTCTAAAGTGATGACAAAACAGGTGACTTTGCTAACATTTTAAGATAAGGTTAAACGGCAAGAAATGCCATCAGTCTACAGAGATTTTCCAGTATTTCTCAATTGCAATCAGGAGATCACAATAGTTAACCTCAAAAAAGCCAAAACAATGAGAACACTACCTGATTACTGTTGTGTTTGCGATAAGGAAAAATGCTAAACACATGTGGGCATTACTTCTTTCTTTCTGTTTACTTAACTGGTCTGGAGAAACAAAAACATGAGACTCAGTAGAAACACACAAAATTGGGATCAATAATCTCCAAGCTCAGGGCTCTCTCCCAGGACAGCATGCCAAACCTGCTATTAATGCCAAGCATATCTGAG